TCATTGGGCCCGGATGATTGGCTGACTCTTTCAAGAACTTTTATATGTACTTCACGGAGAAGCGGCACGATACGAACGGCATCCCAAGAGACCCAGTTGGAAGCTGGCCGAGTCAGGATTGGCGCATGAAGGATCGCTTGAAGACAGTTTCGGCTGCCCTCGCCATCTGCTTGAACATCGGTGTCGACCCTCCTGACGTGGTGAAGACGAACCCATCAGCCAAGCTAGAATGCTGGGTGGATCCCACATCGACCACGGGCGGTGGCCAGAACAAGATAATGGAGCAGATTGGAAAGAAGTTGCAAGAGCAGTACGAAACTCTCAGCTTAAGAACTAGGTACAAGCAGTATCTTGACCCTTCAGTTGATGAGACGAAAAAGTTCTGCATTTCCCTGCGTCGTAACGCTAAGGACGAGAGAGTTCTCTTTCACTACAACGGTCACGGTGTTCCGTTACCTACGCAATCGGGAGAAATCTGGGTGTTCAACAAGAACTATACTCAGTACATTCCAGTCAGTTTGTATGATTTGCAATCCTGGCTCGCTGGTCCCAGTCTCTTCGTTTTTGATGTTTCCCACGCCGGGAACATTGTGCAGAATTTCCACACTTTCGTGGAGAAACACGAAAAGGAGAACCTTGAAGCCAAAAAGCGTGACCCGAACGCTGTTGTTCAAAACTACGGGGACTGCATCCTTCTGGCAGCTTGTCAGAAGAACGAGTCACTGCCTACCAATCCCGATCTTCCCGCAGACCTTTTCACCTGCTGCCTAACCACACCCATAGAAATAGCACTGCGCTACTTCATTCTCCAGAATCCTCTCCAGACGAACCTCTCAATCGATGAATTCAGAGTCCCTGGTCGTTTGCAGGACCGCAGAAGCCCTCTGGGCGAGTTGAACTGGATCTTCACCGCAATCACTGACACCATTGCATGGAACACATTGCCACGGGCATTGTTTAAGAAGCTTTTCCGTCAAGATTTGATGGTGGCTGCGCTTTTCAGGAATTTTCTTCTCAGCGAGCGCATCATGCGCACTTACAAGTGCCATCCGATATCCTCACCCGAACTCCCAGAGACTCATCATCATCCGCTTTGGAAAAGCTGGGATCTTGCTGTTGAGATGGTGCTATCTCAGCTACCAGCTCTCATTGACCATGAAGAAGGCCGCAGACAATACGAGTACCAACATTCCACCTTTTTTGCGGAGCAACTCACTGCTTTTGAAGTCTACCTCTCATCCGGACCGACGGAGAAGAACCCGCCGGATCAACTCCCTATCGTTCTGCAAGTTCTACTTAGTCAGGCACATCGACTGAGGGCCCTCATCCTCTTGAGCAAGTTTCTCGACTTGGGGCCGTGGGCTGTTCATCTCGCTTTGAGCATCGGTATCTTCCCGTATGTCGTAAAACTGCTACAGTCAGCAGCCCAGGAGTTGAAACCTGTCATGGTGTTCATTTGGGCGCGGATTATGGCAGTGGATCACACTGTTCAGAACGATCTGTTGAAGGACAATGGGATCCATTATTTCATCTCTATCCTCAACCCTTCGTCACCCATCCCGGTGGGTAACGCCAGTGAGCACCGAGCAATGTGTGCTTTCATTGTTTCGATATTCTGTAAGAACTATCCTCAGGGACAGAATGTGTGCCTTTCTGGCGAGCTTTTTGACTCTTGTCTCAAGCATTTGACTGATGTGGAAAATCCTTTACTCCGACAATGGTCATGTCTCTGCATCAGCATGCTATGGTCCGAATTTCCCGAGGCCAAGTGGATGGGCATCCGGTGTGCTGCACCCGCAAGACTCTGTGAGCTTAATTTTGACCCCGTTCCCGAGGTCAGGGCGGCAATGCTCCACGCAGCCACCACGTTCTTGGGCATCCCTGATTTGACAGATCAGGTTGCGCAGATTGAAGAATCTCTGGCTTTGGCTGTGCTGCCCATGGCATCAGACGGTAGTGTCTTGGTGAGAAAGGAACTCCTTGTCTTCTTCTCGACCTTTGTCAAACGCTATCAGAACAAATTCCTGGTCGCGGCGTATGAAGAGTTCCAGGACGAGAAGCAAACGCTTCTCCTTCGATTAGAGCACGACGGCTCTCGAGGCTTCACGCTGGAAGATGTTCAGAATGGAGCTGCCAATTTGAGTAACAAATCACAGAAGCTGTCGCAGAATACCACGTTCGGCACGATCTGGAAACAACTTCTTATACTCTCTGTTGACCCACATCCTGATATTGCGCAAGATGCTAGCACGATTATTGACTACATCCACCTCACCCTTCTAGCATCTCCTATGGCGTCGCTTGCTGACAAGGTCCGAAAGGAAATTATGGAACTCACTGGCCGGTTGTCACACAAATTACAAATTCGCGAAAGAGCGGAATCGAGAAAGGCTGCACCTCCACCAGCTCCCCCTTCCCAGACGGCTGCTTCCAAACAGGAAGGATACTTGTCGTTGAGCATTAAAAGAACAGCCAGTGTGGCCGCTTCACTCAAGAATCTTGCTTTCGGTGGACCCTCCCAGACCGAGCAACAATCATCGCAGAACGTCACATCACCCACAAAGAGCCGCATGCCCGTCACCCCTCGAGGACGTGCTCCCCCCGAATGGACCAGACCTCCGGAAGTCAACGACCAGGTCGCTCCCGCGGCAGCTTATCACCAGGCACCGATTCCTACCTCGCGCGGTTTCGAACCCCGAGACTCATCTCTGGCCCCCGAGATACCCCTTATGAGTCGCTTTCTTGACTGGTCCACAGAGGTAACCCCAGGCCTTCTCCATTTGATTTGCGAACAGTACACCCGCATCTATGAACATTTTCTTACTCGTCTTCAGTATTTCCGTGAGCCCCAGATGAAGCCCAATGAGCCCGACGAACCCGGTAGCGCCGACTACAACGAGCGCCTCTGGAGACGTAGCCGCAACGAGAAGATCATCACGGAAACCCAGCCCCTCAAGGGAAAAGCAGGGAGCAGTCGCTGGGATACCTCTTTGGCCCTGCTTACTAATACCAGTCAGCCCCTGAAGATGTGTTTCCATCAGTTTGAGGATCATCTCGCAGTTGCGGATGATCGGGACACGATCGCGTAAGTAAGACTGGCGCAGATAAGTGTCTTGATGCTAACTTGATTTACCTCGCAGAATCTGGGACTGGCAGAGACACAAGCGTCTCAATAGGTTTTCCAACGGGAACCCCGCGGGCTCCAGGATCAACGAAATTCGTTACATCAATGAAGACGATCAAGCGTTGTTGATGACGGGATCCTCCGACGGGGTGCTCAAAGTATTCAGAAATTACGAGTCTTCAAAGGAGGTGGAGGTAGTAACAGCTTTCCGCGCTTTGCCGGAACTAATTCCAAGCAATAGAAATGCTGGTTTGGTCTTCGATTGGCAGCAAGGCCAAGGAAAAGCCCTGGTTGCTGGAGATGTGAAGGTAATCCGTGTGTGGAACGCGGCCACGGAAGTCTGCACCAACGTATGCTCCCCTGACCTCTGGCTTACTGGGTGACTACTGACGCAGGTGTTGACAGGACATCCCTGCACGCTCAGGATCTTGCATTACCTCCCTTACTTCCGACCAGGTTGCAGGGAACATCTTTGTGGCTGGATTCGGCGACGGTGCAGTCCGTGTGTTTGATCAGCGTCTGAAGCCTACGACCTCGATGGTCAAGGTTTGGCGTGAGCACAAGCAATGGATTACCAATGTTCACATGCAACGAGGTGGACTGAGGGAGTTGGTGTCCGGCAGTCGGAATGGCGAGATCAGATTGTGGGATCTCCGCATGGATGACCCTATCTCGACCATCTATGCCACCAAAGATACCCTCAGGACGCTAAGTGTTCACGAGCACGCTCCCGTATTCATGGTGTATGTGTCTACTTCTCGCTTCTGGATGCTCTCAAGTTCTGTAACTGACTTGTTGAATGAAAGGGGCACGAACCGCCATGAGGTCAAGACATTTAACATGGATGGAACATATCTGTCCACGTTCGAACCGTACTCAAGCTTCCTGCATCACAATCGCTCTTCTCCAATTGCCAGCACTGCCTTCCACCCACATCGTACCATTCTTGCCTGCGCTGCGCTGAACGATAACCATATCAACCTTGTGAGTTGCTAGGCATCGACTCGTCCTTTCGACCTCCGGTACACGATCCACACGACATAGTTCCTCTTTTACCCTTTCTCTATGACTCGGCATTGCATGCCGCACGAGTAGATACGGCGCTTTGGGTTATGACTTTTAATGAAGGGCTCGGTTTCTTTTCAGTTCAGTGATTTGAGACGCATATTCCTGGCGTAGGACTGTCGAGCTGCAGTTAATCATGGCGTTTTGTCATTTTCATCTTATACTTGACATGTGTTGAGCTTTGTTAGCCCTTTCAGCAGTGTACAGCTGCGTCGTAATGTACAGCGAACCTGCAATGTTAGAGGTCATTTACCAATTACCCCTACTCGTGGGCCTGTCTTTCGCCAAGAGATCTTTGTCATTTACCGCTTCAGTCATGATTTCATGTACCTGTGGCAGTTTATGAAGATCTAGGATGAACTCGCTGGAACATTGTACCCTCCGGGCCCGAGCCGAGCTCTAGCATGTTCCAACGTATGGCAACTTCACTCTTGCGGCCAACAGTAGCGGCGTCCTTAGGAGCAGTAAAACCAAACTCTCACGTAACAGACGCGCAGACATCGCAGGACGCGTTTAATGGTTCAGCTTGTTTGGCATCGGTTCGATTGACAGGTCCAAGTCGGATCTGCGCAGCATGAGGCGCACACAGCCTTGCTGAAGCAAGTTGCATTTCTGACTCACGACTCGCGACACCTCGTATAGAAGCCTGAAGTACTTGCTGGCAGATCAGCACCGCCACAGCCGTGCATTTGAGTCATTTCTCCCAGTCCATTGTTTTTAAGTCACAGAATTTTCTCAACCTCAATACAAGAGCAGAATCTACACTACCAACTCAGCACATACATACAATCACACAAGCCTCCCGCGCAAAATGTCCATCCCGAAACCCCCCAACAACGCGCAACGCCAGCGCCTCGCCGCCGAAACCCTCTCTCTAACAGAGTACGTCATCAAAGCAACAACGGGCGCCTCGCAAGCCTCCCGCGCCCACCCTCACCTCCTCCCATCCATCAAACCCATCTCCAACAGCGCAGCCCGGAGACCACTGCTTAGCGTCACAAGCCAGGACAGCTTCACCGCCGCGCGGGACATCCTGCAGCGCACAGCCGGCAGAGCCAGGGTGGGTGTTCTCAATATGGCGAGCGAGCGGAATCCTGGCGGAGGGTGGTTGAACGGGGCGCTGGCGCAGGAGGAGGCGCTCTGTCTGCGGAGTACGTTGGCGGCGACGCTTGACCGCAAGTTCTACCCGCTGCCGGTGTATGGGGCTGTGTGGTCGCCAGCTGTGGTGGTCTTCCGAGATGAGGTTGCGAGTGGGTGTCGGCTGTACCGGGACGAGGAGAAGTTTCTTGTTGGCGTGGTGAGTTTGGCGGCGTTGAGGAGGCCGGCGTTGACGGCTGATGGGAGGCATTTTGGTATATTTCTTTCCTCTCTTCTGCAGGGTTTTGATAAGAGGCTAACTTTGTGTTTCAGCCAATTCGAATGATGTGTTGGTTTTGAAGAACAAGATGCGCCAGGTCTTCCGGGTTCTTGCTGAGAATGGAATCTCGCACTGTGTGCTTGGGGCGATGGGCTGTGGGGCGTTCAGGAATCCGCCGTATGAGGTTGCCAGGATTTACAAGGAGGTTTTGCAGGAGACGGAGTGGGATGGAGTGTTTGAAGAGATTGTCTTTGCGGTGCTGGATACGAAGGGGGAGTCCAACTATACCATATTCAAGAATGTCCTGCTGTCTCAGGGTGGTAGATGAGCAGGAACCTATTTATATAACTCTTGTGTTATGACGCACGATTCTGGATCGGCCAGACCGATCCTGTATTCAAAAGAAGAGAATCGGTTGGCCGTCACGAGCTTTCCGGGACAGTAAACTTCCAATCCTCCGGAAACCTTCCATACTGAATATCTTCACGATCACGGAAGACATTCTCATACCGCTCCATATGGGACTCCGGTAGCTCCGCCTGACGATAATACTTGTGCGCCAACCTCTGCGTGGCCGGATCATTCCACATCGTCTCCATCCACTTCACCACATCAGCGCTGGCGGATTCGAGAGGGAGATTGTACGTGCGGAAGCGCTGTTCGAGCCATAAGTTAGCCACTGGTTCCAGACAACAAGAATAAACAAGCAAAGTTGAAACATACCCAGAGCACCGGCCAGAAGAACGCATCCGCAATACTAAACCCACCAAACAAAAACCCCTCATCCTTCTCGCCCAGCTCAGCCAGCCGTGACTTTGCTGCCTGTCGCGCATTATCCCAGATCGTGAATAGACGCTGGATATCTTTCTTCGCAGCCTCAGGCACGGGGATATTGCCCGTATACCGCACTACGAAGTTCGTGGGGCAAGCGTTTCGCAGCCCCGTGAAACCAGAGTGCATTTCGGCCGCGGCACTGCGCGCCATGGCTCTGAGGAGGCGGTCCCGCGGCCACAGGGTGAGATGGGGGTTTGACTCTGCGAGAAACTCGCAGATGGCGATTGAGTCATTGATGCGTAGGGTTGAGCTCAAAGAACGGCATTCGAGCAGGGGGACGAGCCCTGAGGGGGAGAATTTGCGGACCTGGTTTCGGTTAGTGTTTGGATGTTTGAAGGAACGGGACCACGGACATCGTCAAAATTTATTTGTTGCTCTGTATATGGAATTTGGAAATACTCCAAGACTATTTCGACGCGAGCAGTCCAGCCTAGAATGGTAAGCTTAGCAATTGGCTACACAAGCGGAGACGTGTGAGGGCGTACTCGAATAGCGGGTGAAGAGCCCAATAAGGTGATAATCGGCTTGTTCTTGATTTGCGGCCATTGCTTGACTTTTTGCTTCAAATCTACTTAGAATGATGTGTATGTTAGAAAGGCTGAGTTGGGGAGAGCAAAGATGACAAATAAGACGTTTTATCCTACCTCTACCTCGGTAGCAGTGGTGGGGTGACTCAACAGCAGGCGCCCTTCCCACTAAACCTTAGATACGAATAACTTACTGCAGATTCCTGCCCGAATCTAAAGTAGCGTACTAGGATATATCCTTTGCATAGAGTAGCATTGAGAGCTAACTAATGCTGTGATTTGTTCTCTTCACCAGCATTTTTATTAGGGCTGAAGGATTGCCAGGGTTCACGGCTGGCACGTGACCTAATTCAACATCAAGTACTGATAGATCCTCTTTGAAAGTTCATGTGGTTTCATAGTCAGTAAAAGGGTAGTTTTGTGAGATTAGTCTGAGCTCACTGCGGTAGGATTCTGGTTGGCCTCTGGCAGCATCACTGAGCCAGTGGCAACAGATCGCGTCATTTCAAGAACAGCTTGACCAAGAGTCTAGGATTTCCTTCAATCGATGAAGCTCGGTCTGACCCACACCTTCCTCCTCGACAAGTATCTACATAGATTGGGCTCTTTGTACTTTAACTATAGTCTGAATGTAGATGTGTGGTTTAACTCTCCCAGGCTGGACAGCTCGCGGCGAGGTAGTCTTGGAGTATTTCCAAATTCCATATACCGTCAACCCCCAACCACCCTCTCCCCCCCTGGGGGAAGACGTCGATTAAAAAGGCTGAACATACACCGATATTACCCTATGCTTTGAGCGTGCACGGCACTACTACGTCTGTAGTCTGGACATCATTCTAGCGGAGTGGTTTTCGTGTATTGGACATCATGTATATAGTTATTCTACATCTTAAGCCGCAAACATTCGATTATGCTCTGGATTTCAATTCGAATCAAGATACAAAATGAGTGAGCTCTTTAACCTTGCAAGGATTCTATCCTGCCAGGATAGTCAACAGTTTCAGGTCCCGTATCTTATCGGCAGCTTCTCTCTGTATGACCTGTATCATTAGCGAGACTTCGCCGCAGATGAAATCGTACTCATATGAACAGAAAGCGCTCCAAAGGTGAGGATAAATTAGAGAGATGGAAGCAAAAAGAATATTCTCAAGACATCCATCTGCAGCGCGGACGGAGGACAGATACCGCAGATGGACACTGGGAAACGGAGGCAGCTAGGAGAGAGTGGGAAAAGCACGAATAGTTGGGGCTGGTGATTTTTGTTCTAGAGAATTGGAGATACGCAGAGGGGAATGGGCTTGACAAGCCTTGACTTAGTGATGAAAGACTAGATGCATCAAAAAGGATTACCTAAATAGGAAATTATTACGGCGGATGCAAGGTATCAGAGCCCTAATTCGAGCTCTTGTTTATCATAGTCATATCTTATGAGCCATTACCCTCAACATATTCATCTATATGACTTACAGGTAGATTATGACACTAAACTACATCCAATTTCTTCCTGAACCTCAACTCGGTCAAGTCGTCCGGCTTGCACACCATCACGCGGCAACCTTTGATGTCCGGGCTTTCCAAGATCTTCTCGTACGTAATACCAAACTCGGACGCCTTCATCGCCCCGAACTGGTCCGCTGCAGCATCTACCATCACGAACAAGCCGAGATAGATCTCGTTGAAGCGGACATTCGTATCTGCGTTGTCGAGGCATGCCACGTTCGCCATGGAGTATAGCGCGCCCTGTGTCATGCTGGCTGCTGCGCGACCCCCATTGTCTCCGCTTGCGCCTGTACACAGCGTCCAGGTACTTTTAGGGTCGCCCTGCTCGAGAAGATAGGGGATGGTCGCTTGATAGGCGACTGCCGACGCGTGTCAGTTTCTTTTCATAGCTGTGGAAATCCTACAACATGGCCACAAACTCACAAAGGTTTGGCTCAAAATTGACCTGCATATGCTTCCTCAGCTCCTCAGTGGTGAGATCAAGTATTGATGTCGTTTCGAACAATCCGCCAGCTGCCCATCGCACAATCAATCACCCTCCTCGTCAGCCAAAAACACATATCATATTAACACTCTGATAAAGTAACAAAACTCACCCGCAGCATAAACATGCTGAAACGCCGGCAACTCCCCCTTGCGCACTTTCTCCACCACATCCTTCACTCCCCGATCAGACATGATGTCCGCCTCTACCGTCGTGATGCCCTCGCGAGTTCCTACATTGCGGAACAACTTCTCTGCCGAAGCCTGGTTGCGCACGATGGCAAGGACGTGGAGTTTGGAGCGCAGAGCGGCGTGGATGGCCGAGGCGCCGATGTTGCCTGTGGCTCCGACGATCAGAACGGTCTGCATTTTGCTTGTGGAGGAATCGGTGATGGTTAAGGTATGGTTGGGCTTCAGCGTGCTGTTGGTGCGTTTAGAACACGAAAAAGATGGTTTCCATAGATATATATATAGGGCATTTCTAGGCAACAGCCTGTCACCGTCATGTTCTTCCTACAACCTCACCGCTATCTCCCTCACCCAGTCGTTCCCGTATCTGCATCCTCGAGATGGTGATCGGTTTGCATGGCGTTCACGAAGCTCGGTCTCCGAACTAAAACCGGATATGGAAAAGGAAAACGGCTTATCTCCGTGCTTACAACAGTTTTTGTGGACCCTTCATTACAGATAAGATTTAAGAATCGAGTTTCATCAGATAACCCCACAGGCCTTGCTTCGGAGGCGTTCATTCCCTTTCTGCTTCAATCCCGCCGTCCATGTCTCATTCAGACATCAAGCGCACTGGGCTCGGTAGGACTCGCATCCGATCTACAGATTGTGCACAGTATTCCAGCGTTGGATGAATATCGCATGAGCAAAACTGCGTTGCACATGATGAAAAATCAAAGGCAGAAGCGACTAAAAGTCTAGAATGTCCACGTTTTTGCCTATTGTGCCGGTGAATACTACGAAGCAGGCGGTACTCAAGGTCATGCTAGCGATCCTATGGAATCGGGAAAAGCAATCATGGGGAGAGATGAACATGCTGGCAAGTTCCTTTACAGCGATGCATGTTATCCCTGGTAGTCATTATACTGTACTGGAACCTCAGACTACCCTATAAAAGCGGAATTAAGGTATTGATAGATCGGTCCCGAAAATCTTGGCTAATGTCCAAACTTTATCTTTAGAGGTACCACGTACATGCGTGGGCATTAGCGACTCTGTGGGGTTCACTAAAAAGGGTGTCTCTTCGGGGTCAAACCTGGTTTTAAGATGTATAAGTTCAGTAGAAAAGTATGTGTATTTATACATGCTGGTATGGTTATATCTGAGAGGCCAGCAATCTTTAAATAAAAAGAGAGAGCTTGCTGTCCAATTAATATATTAGGTCTCGCATACTCCATCGTCTCCAACAATACATTCTGCGCATGTATGTGTCTTGCCAAACTCAAGTAATTTGAGATAACATTAGATTGAACGCCATGTCTTGCATCTCCTACATCGTCAACTTGAAATAACGCTATATTTTCTCAACTATCCTAAGATTCACGTTGAGTTCTGAGGAGAATCTATCCGCCAAAGCTGCATAATCGCACGTCGATGCTCACAACTGCTACCACCCCAGGTGGGAATCTGATCTTGTGCATGGCGCAGAAGTGGGTAACTGAAATGCTACAAGCTTACACAAATGACTGAAGGCCATCGGTATACTGGATTTGATAGATATTATTCGTCATGTACCAATACAGTCCCAAGTCCGTCTTTAGACGGATTCTTACTGCATCGCCTTCTCCATATCCGCAGCCCACAGCGCCGCACCAACCGTATTCGTAAACGAGAACATCAATGAGGCAAACGGAATCATCTCGAACAGAAACGCAGCCATTCCAAGTCTGGTCTCAGTTAGCAATCCCATAAGCATAGCACAAAATCAAAGGTGAACCATACCCGGTATACCCTCCCTGATTCTTCCTTACCCACT